AAAAACCCAAACAAACCCCAAACCAAAAACCCAACAATTACTATGGCCATACTGCCATTTGGGAACCATCCCTAGCACCTTCTGTGCCCCAAGCAGTACCTGGGAGAAGGCAGGTTGATATGGGCTAAAATAATTCCCGACTGTGTACTAACAATTAAACTGTATGAACAAGTATACAGTTGTGTGGACCCCTCAAGTCAATGCTCTGACCTGGTTTAGTTCACTAGTACAGTCGTAGCCAAAGGTAGCCATCCATTTCGCAGAACTTAGTAGTCTATAAATCACTTGTCTAGCCAACTAGTCACCTAGAATCTCACTACAGATTAAGACACGCATCACTATAAATAAATGACGACAGACGAGCATCTTCAAGAAAGTGATCCATCCCATCCTAAAACAGGCAATTCTAGAGGGCAGTTTCTCTCATTCTGTCTCATTCCATTGGTTAGACAACTCATTTAGACAGCATGTGTAACAGCTACACAGACTGAATTCAGCAACATGAATACCCTCCAAACACACAGGATATGTACAGCAGAGCAAAACCAAACTTTGCTGTTTATCCTACTGATTAGTCTAAGACTTAGTACTATATTGCATTTCACCCCGATTAGATGCAGGAAGCGCAATACGAAAACATATACTTGCCTTTCAAACCGCTCAGTCCCCAGCTGTCTTTTGGTGATACCCAGTTCTGACTCTAGCTGAGCTGCTCTATTTCTGAGCTGAGTGAAATCTCGACTCTGCACAGCACTGTAAAGTCCATACACTTCAATTAGATAGCAACTATAATCCTCCAAGTATATTACCAGATACAATTATCCAAAATTAAAAGGGCAACTATACCATGCAATTGAGATTAAGAACATTTTTGGGAATAAAACATAACACTACACAGAAAAGTCTATTAGGGTATAGCTGAGGAATCAGAAGCAGGTTTTTGGTATCTTCTGCTGTTAAAGTAACCAAGGTACATTGGCCATTTGAAAATGCAGCTAGATATAAAACCACCTGTGTGTATATACACTTGGGAAGAATGAAAAAACCTGCAATAATCTCCTGGTCATGTACTCACATTTTATTTTCTGCTAAAGAAAGCTGTTCCTTGAGAAACTGAATTTCAGAGTCTTTTTCTTGCTTTTCTATCTGTGACTGAAATTCTTTCTCACGATTGGACAGAAGCAAAGATTCCAGGTTTTTCATAGATGCTCTTTCATTTCCCAGTTGTTTTCTCAGCAGCTCTATTTCAGAATGGGATGACTCACACTTGCTCTGCAGCTAAACAAAGATTTTAAAGTTTTATCTATCTATTATGGTAACCTTTTTTAAAAAAAAAAAAAAAACAAAAAAGAGAAAAAGAAAAAAGGAAGTTTGGGATCAATGACCAAAATTCGCTCTCACTCCAAGATGGATGATTAGTGTTATATTTGCCCTTAGTCAAAATCCTGTATCAGATTTATAAATTCACCCAATGTATATATCAGAATATAAATGTACTTGATAGAAATGAAAAAATGCTATGAAATATATGGATCAATGGATACAGACTGTAGACAGAATCATTAAAGAAGAGAAGGGAAGTTCTACATTTTGTTGCGGCAAGAAACTACTGATTAACCATTTGCAGGCAGGAAATGACAACTGGTATAACAAACCGATATCTACATCTCCAGTAGAGTGGGATTACACTTATTTTACTTAAAGGAGCATCAAGAATAAATTTGGGGGAAAAGGGACAGTGAATAAAATCCAAAACGAGATTAAGGATCTATATATCTTGGGGGAACCTAAAAAAGAATACCCATAAAACCTAGTATGTTCCACTGAAAAGGGAACAATGGAAGTACTTGAAACATAACTACACAAAAAGAAAAAAAAAAAAATCCCAGAGACAGTGAGTCAGGAAAATCTGTATTGAGTCAGCTACAGAGACACAGAAAACTGCCTGCCTCAATCTTAGCATAAATAAGCTAGATGCTATTTTTCCTTCATCTTTTCATGTATGCATTTTAGTATGTCTAACTGAGTTCATCTGGGGTACTGCAAACACTTTTATCTGTATTTTACTCAAACTTAGTTTACATTAAGCACAATGACGCTCACCCAAAGGTCATAGTAAATCTATGAACCGCGACATCCTAACAAACACCCCACCTCTCTAGCACATTCTTCAGAATTTTCAGAGGATAACCACTTGTGTGTTCAAACCAGAAAGATACTGAGAGAACTCAGGTCATAGGCCAAGGGGGGAAAGAAAAAAAAAAAAGAAAAAAGAATTGAAAAAAGAATGGAAAAACAGAAGAAATGGAAAAAAAGAAGGAATAGGAAAAAAAGAAGGAATAGGAAAAAAAGAAGGAATAGGAAAAAAAGAAAAAAAAAACCCAAACAAAAAAAACCCCAAAAAACAGGAAAACGAAGAGAAAGAAGAAGAAAGAAGAAGAAGAAAGAAGGAAGAAAAAAAAAAAAAGGCATTTTTCACTTTCCAAATGATTTGATTTTACCAAACTAAACTAAAAGGTATCTTCAGTCTGAAAGGTCCAGTTTTCTACTAACTGTCAATCAAAAGTCTAGTTCCTTTGCCTATAAACAGTTTTTATATTCTACTTTTTTATTTCAGAACAAAAGAATACTGAAAACTGTAGACAGCATAAGTTATAGGAAAATAAACAGTATTAGAAACACTGAAAGAACAATATTATTCAGCATCAGGTTTAATTTCCACTTCTAAATATACATATGCTACAATCTAGTAATGCAGATTTCTGCATTGGAATACTATGTAAAGTAAGAGCCCTATCTGAAGGTTATACATGGCTGATGAAAGACTGCAAGTATAAAGACTCTCTCTCGATGTATGTTTTGAAGCTCTCCTTCCATTTTCACAAGAGACTTGCTTAAGGCAGAAATCTGAGACGTGTATGCTGCTTCTGCTATTAAACGCTACAGTAAAGCAATATCAGATAATCAAAACTCTACTGCGAAGAAAATTTAAAACTGCTTCCAAAATCCTATAAAAATATCTCTATGTAATTGTGGTAAATTTTAAGAGGCAGCAGTCATTTATTCTGGAATAAACTTTAAAGTTGGTTCTTTAAATAACTCCCATATATAAAAACTAGAAGAGAAGAGTTCTTGCTTCTAACAGCAAAATCAGCTACTGACATTTTAAACTCTATTCCTAGAATTCTACTCCTTCTGCAGAGCTAATAAGGTTCAAAATTCTGCCATGGGCTGCATTTCATTTTCAGATGAGACCCTCTTATTTTAGCACAAAATGTACTCTTGCATGTAGATGATCAGTGAACGCTGACATACTGTCAGTCATATTTATACCGCTGTCACCTGTAAACTCAAGCATGATTAAGAGATGACAGAAGTCACACTAAAAAGAAGTCCACAAACCAGCAGCAGCAGTTCTGACTAAAAGCATTTAGAATTTTGTATATTTAAAATTAACATAACCTAGGTTTTTCCTTTTTGATAAATGCCTGTACTTTGCCCAGTGGCACTTGTATTTCTGGTCACTTTTAACTACTTAATTTTCATTGGGTGGCAGAATGAGTCTGGGAGGTTAACAGAGCAAAGGGAGAGATAAAGCACTGTGACTTCCTTGAAGGATTTATGAGGAACGAGATCCAAAGAGATGATTGTAGAGGGAGCACATCACACTAATTCTAGCTCCGTCTTGCCTAAAAAAAAGCACAAGGAACACAGAGCACTGCTAAGCACCTTAAGATTCTTGATTAAAAACTTCTGTGTTTTAGATATGCACCTTACATGTAACTGCTATGAACCTGAATATGACATCTGGAATTCTGACTCAATTTGTTGACATGGTTTTCATGAAGAGGTCTGTTCATTCCTATATTTAATAGCAGGCATGTGGGAAGGAATTAGGATGAAATCTCTACCTATTTGAGGCTCACTGGACAAACTAGGACCATGTACCAGTTTTATTATATTAAAAAAAGGTCAAAATCTGCCACACAATCTTTCTGTGCTGTTTTGCTACTCATATGTTTTCACCCACTTTCTGAAGAGCACCAGTTCAGTTCCTTTTGAGTATCTAATGTCCATGGGTAGCCCTCAGTAGCCTACGTGATATTCAGGAAGCAGAGATGATCTGCAACAAAAACTGTAACAACCCAAAACCAGAAGACAGTTTATATGTTCATAACGTACTTCCAAAGCCATGTTGTACATTTCCCTTTAAGTTCTTCAGATTTTCAAGTGGGAAGAGGCTCTCTGGGACATCTAAGGCAGTGGAAAGAAGGTTGAAAAGCTGGAAGCAAGAAAAGCAGGGACAGGATCATAACAGGTGACAGAGCACTAGGTATGTTTCAGGTATGCTGTGGAGTTGTGTGTGACATTATGCCTTCAGTCATTCCAAACATGAGAACATTTTATAATTTATAATATATATTTTTTTCCTTAAAATATGCTATTATTTTTTAAGACTTTTTTCCCAATTCCATGTCTAGTGGAATTCTAGTCATGTTATTAAATAAACTCAAACTCCATACAGTTCATTGCAGCAAATATCTCTAAAATATGAGAAGTGGCATTAAGCATAATTTTAAACAGTTGCAGGCTTAAAATACTACCAGACCATTTCAAGGGTGAACTATGGAAAGAAAGATTTCAACTTACTTGCTCCATCTCCGTTTCAAGGGACTCCATTTTCTCTTTCAACCTGCGGTTCTCAGACTCCGCACTGATTAGTGCCAGTCTAACAGAGCTAGAATCTGCTTCTGCTTGATGGCATTTTGCTTCCCAACTTTCTCCTTGTTCACGGGCTTTGTGGTAATTCTCCAAAAGCTCGCAGTTCTCTCTCTCCTAACACATAAAGCTTGTTTGTTTAATAATTTACAGCAAGCTTCACAAAATAGGGATATCTATAGATCTACAGGTATGACATGATATTGGATGTTCTCTTTCCACTGAAAACTTTGCCATTTAGCCAAAACATTGAGAGACTTCTCAAGAACCAGTATTTTGTTCAAGATGGCCACATTTTAATGCTCAAAAGCCATCTGTTAAAAATGGCTAGATTAACATTACAGATATGTGGTATAGCAATATATTGCAGAAATATTTTTTTTACTATTAATCCCATATGGTAGTAAGACAAAAGATTTCCAAGTCTCTATATTATTCACTGTCTGAATTTTTAAGTTTAATAAACACACACGTGTGTATATATATAGAGGGGTGTGGGGGTGTGTGTGTATATATATATATAAAACCACACTGAAATATACTTCATTACTTGTGTACTGCAAAAACAGCTAAGAACATGTGTTCAAACTAACAAAAACATATTAGTAGTAGAATGCAAATAAGTTTTGGCTAAGAAGAAAATTCTTCCATGGAAATATGGTTAAATTTTCATTTTTAGTTAAAACAACAGCTTTTATTAACAGGTTTAATCCATATACTCACTTTAGACTTCAATACACCCTTCAGCCTGACAGTATCTGCGTTTGAATCCTGGGCTTTCAACTTTATATCATCAAGCTCATTTTGGTACTTTGCTAGCTTTTTATATAGTACCTATGAAGAAAGATTTGTTTCATAAGGTTAAAGTACACTGTTTCTACCTTTACAAAAAAACAGAATTAGTGCATATCTAACGCCTATGGCTTTATTAACTTGTAATTTAAACGCTATATAAAAACTAAACCATGTATATTTTGATAAACAAAATTTTGCAATCGTCAAAAATATTTTGTTTCTTCGACTTATAAATAATGCTAAATCTTCTTAAAAAGAAGAAAAACGTCACTAAAAGAATGTAGCAGTTGAGAAGAAAAATACAGATTATTTATTTAGCAGCTAGATGGTCGTAACAAAACAGCCTGCCCCATTTACCATTTAAGGCACAGGGCTCAGAGTCAGCTCCCTCTTTTTTACATGTTACAGTCTCTTAAAAGCCCACATTTGAAAAAGCAGAAGACAGCTAAAAAATTGAATTAACTAATTAAGTGTTTATCTCCTAATCAGGAGAAATAAAGCCACAAGTATTAGGAGAATGCACACAGAATTTCTGGCAACTATTGCTTGAGAAAGAGAACAGAATGAGGAAAAAAACTGCAGAAAGGCTGTCTGTTCAGAAACTCTTCCTTCCCTACAAAATTACTACGAAAATATTCAGCTGCAAGAACCGAGGGAAGGTGGGGGGGAAGGGTGGAGAAGGCTATGAAGAAACCCCTATTCCTGTTGTGAAAAGGTTGCGAGTTGTTGAGAAAGGTGCTCTGGAAATCTGTGAACTTTTCCAGTAAGCCCAAGCGAAGAAATGAGAATGCTACTTTAAATGCTTTGAGTATCACCTAAATTAATGGAAGAACCTACAGAAACCAATACATATTATAGAGGCAAGCCTATTAAAAAGCAGTTGATCCTGTGAAGCTAAGACTTTTTGTTTCTAAGTGCTTCTACAAGCATCCAGGCCTTACAAAGAAAACCATGAGGCTTTTAAAAGTAGCTAGAAGCAACAGGAGGCTGTGTTTTCCAGCTGACCTCGCCAGTATCAACTGTGATTCTGAGAGAAGGTAAAGAATATGATTCCCTGGATACCTTTGGTGGTTAAAGCTACTACAAACCTCGACTTTTCTAGGATACTCAAAGAGGGCACTAAAGAGAAACGATTAGTATGTTTGCAAGAAGAGTTATTTAGAATGAGAGTTGTCTCACCTAATTTTTACAGCACAGAATTAGGCACCTGATCTAAAATAGTTAGCTACACTGCCTCTATGAAGGGAGAGAGACAGGTAATATGAATCACTTTAAAAACTGGGATGGGATGAATCTCCTTCTGGGGGACTTTTCTTCACTTAAAAGGGAGCCTTAATGACTTAAAATTTTTATATACCTAACATCAGGTGAAGTTAATTTGCTCCTTCAAAACTGGGTAGCACTTCTAGAGGAAGAGAAAGCCAGGTGAGCAGAAAGTATTTTCAAAGACAAAGATATCCTAAGCAGTAGAATAAGTGTAAAGAAGAAAGATCAAGTATCAGAAAACCTAAATGAAGGCAAGAACTTGAAGCAAAAGAAGAAAAAACAGAACATTACACAGTAATGAACTATTACAAACATTAAGCCTAATTTCTAGCTGCTTGGAAAACATAGTGATGCATGACATTTTGTGGGCATGAGATGACACTTTAGTTTTAAGTATTTTAACTACTTTCATTAGTAACAGCACACAGATAAATAACACAGTAGATAATGTAATGTTGTATTATAACCAAACATTTCCAGCATCTTTTATCCAAAAGCCACTTTAAAGGAATGTAAATAAATACAATACTATTAATAAAGTTTTGAACTTTATTAAAAATGTGTACTGTGTTAAATTATTAGCAAGTTAAATTCATAAAATTGTAAGCGCTATGGGCCAGTCACAGCATAGCATAAGAAATACTTGCTGCCTCCTTTATAGTACTTTTCCATATAAGCAATAGTTACAACTGCCACAGTGTTTTTACATGAAGACCAGAAAAAAAACATTAGTTAGCTGTTCCTCCAGATAAACATCCAAACCATTACATAAGAATAGCTGGTCCTCTTTATACAAGTGAGCTGAGCAATAAGGGAAAAATCAAGAGTTTGAAAAATGAGTTTAAAAACCAGTTTGCAGATTTAGTCCAGATGAGGGCCCAACAATTCTATGCACTACTTGAAAAATACACAATCTTCCTTTTTATTCAAGGGTTGTCTGTACAAATATACCTGATTTTCTTGCTTAATATTAGAAAGATGCTCTTGTAACCTGTCATTCTCCTGAGCTAATGATTCTCTGTTCTTGTTAGTCTCTGCAAGTTCTCTGTTGGTTTCTTGTAGCTGTTGATGCAAACTGGTGATATCTTTCTCACAGATACAGAGTGCTTCAGCAGATTTTCTATGCAGCAAACAATAAATACTTCAGGCATGACAATACTGCCCAACCTAATACAAATGATAGCTTTTCCAGTGGTTAAGTTTGCAAGTCATGAAACAAAATATTGAAACTTCAATATTTAATAGAGTAAAAAAAAAAAAATTATACATTAGCACATCCTATGATTCATTTTTTGTTATAAATTAATCAACATTTAATAATGATCTTGACATTTTATCCTTACTTTGTGGAACGCTCCAACTCAGAAATCAGAATCTTGAAATCTGAAATTATTTTGTCCTTGAAAAGAAATACAAAATTAAAATAAACCTCTCACCACTCCTCAGTATAAATGGAAAAGAATTTAGGTAAGATTATTTATATTTTCCTTTTATTCAGCTAGCTGATTAATTTAACTATTTAATGCAAAATGGATTGTGGTTTTCCAACTTTCATCATATACTGTTTAGAGCTGAAAATTCTGATAATCTAATTTGGCAAATAAAGGAACAAAACACTATTATCTTCTGCAGAATATAATAACTTTAATTAAATTTTTTAATCCTTTGTGGTTCTAAAGGTAGCATTTAGCTCACACTCCCAAAACTAAATGATGTTTTCTGTCTATTAGATAAGTTATTACAGGTTTTCTACGATGAATAAACTACCAGAGTCTGGTAGTTTGTAACTGATAAAACAAGAATTCTGTCACTGTATTTTCATAAAGAAGGTAGCACAAAGTATATCACTTTACTCCCTTGTCTTTGGATATATAGATATTAAAAGAAGCATAGATAGGCTAAGGAAATGTCTTCCACTGGAGACACAAGAAAGGTGAGAGACAGCCATCTCTTCTCTAAAATAGACACCACTTTACAACTTACAGTTTTAAAAATGCAAAGTCAGTGCTTATGGCAAGATTATTATAGCCTGTCCTGCAATATATTTTCTTTAAGATTTTGTTAAAAATCAGTGCAAATTCTTGAGTTAGTTAAAAAGTACCTTCTTTAGTTTATCCTAAATCAATATCCAGATGACTTAAGCTGAGGTGAAAAACAATGTTTCAAAACTAAAAACTAAGTAGCTTCATTATATAGTTTGAAATCACACTGTGCAATAAACTGCTGCAACTTTCTTAAGTAAACGAGTACCTTAAGGTGAAAAGAATATAATTCAGATGCTTCTTCAATGACAACAAAGGCAATATTATTCGGCACCCTGCATCTCTAACATCAGTGGACCTCAAGGAAGAATTTAGGCTAAATTTTATGATAAACAAAATATTTTACTGGCTAATTTACTCTTCTCCACTTCAGAAAAGTACTTAAAGTCTCCTCTCTTGGTAAGTATAAGCCATACAAAACACCAAACATGAGATGCTCAACACTGCTCAAACCTACGGCTGTTGAAGTCAATGTGAGTTTTATCATTGCCTTGAAACTGGAGCAGAACTAGGTCAGCACTGAGCATTGTTGCAGACACCAACATAAGATAGGTGTGATGACCCAACAGATCCTTTCCCTATTTATCTTTTGTGACGATGTGACTATTTACATGTTAGAACATACTCTAATTGCGAGGCTTTCCTCAAAAGTAGCAATCTTCTCTCTTCCTTCTTCCACACAGTCTTGCAGAGTCGCCTTCTCTTTATCAAGTTGTGCAATCGTTTCTTTCAAAGCACAGATCTCCTCTTGTTGTAGAAGACTTTGTCTTGAAAAGTTATCTGGACACAATCAGAAAGGTCTTATTTTTATTAATTCAACCCATTTGAAATAGAAATTATTCTGATACACTGCTAAAGCATAAAAGAACATGGCAAAAGCTCCCCTTCAAGTAAACACTGAAGCACGTATCTTTTCAAAACATATAAATAATCCAACGGATATTTATATAACTGCATTCTTCCTTAGATCAAGGCCTTAAATTACTTGGCTCAAAACAAATCTATCTTTAAACAGCAAATGTTTAGATCATTAAAAATAACTTTCTCAGGTATTGTAACAATAAAGGCTTAAACAGATTTACAATAGACAGAAGCAACATGCGGACTACAGCATGTAATGATTGATGAAATAAAAGAGATTGATATCCTGATATTAGCCAGTTTTTCTGAAATCTTTTTTTATTTAAATGAACTTTATGTAAAAGTGAGTAAAAGTAATGCATTTATAAAATTCAACACCACTTAAAAATTGCAAAGACGATGAAAAAAGCAATCTACTCATTACAAAATCAAATTCTAAAAGATGTCTCTCCCTATCTTCATTCAGCTAATAAGGTGTTACACACTACATTTACCTTTAAATGGTCAGAGAATCAATCCTTATATGTTCTACATACATTGCATTCACAGAGGAGAACCACAGAAACTCTTCTTAGAGTGAACCTTATATCTCATAAAAACCATGCAGGCTGCAAATTACTCTTTCAATATCAGTGTAATTGGGATTACTGAATGATACTTATTAATCACTTCCAAGAGATAAAACATCCAAAGTAAAATGATCTGTAGCTCAGTCTTTCAGGGACATCACAGCATATATTCACATTCTATTTTTTTCCACAGAATCTCTCTCTATTTCAAAACACAAGATGAAAGGCACTCAAATTTCCACCCCATATTTTTGGATGCATGTCTCTGGAACCTGCTAAGACAGTCTTCAAACCTGGCTCTACAGAAAATTCTGATGGAGCAGCTAATCCTGGAAACCATTTCCAGGCACATTAAGGACAAGAAAATCATTAGTAGTAGTCAGCATGGCTTCACCTGGGGAAGTCATGCTTGACCAACTTGACAAACTTCTATGATGAAATGACTGGCCTCATGTATGAGGGGAGAGCAGTGGATGTTGTCTACATTGAGTTCAATAAGGCCTTTGACCCTGTCTCCCATAAGATACTCATAGACGAGCTGCTGATGTATGGGCTAGATGAGCAGTGAGGTGGATTGAAAACTGGCTGCACGGCCAGGCCCAGAGGATGGTGATCAGTGGCACAAAGTCTAGTTGGAGGCTGGTAACCAGTGGTGTGGCCCAGGGGTTAATACTGTGTCCAGTCCTGTTTTACATCTTCCTTGATGATTTGGATGATGGGGCAGGGTGTACCATCAGGAATTTTCCTGATGATGCAAAACTGGGAAGAGTGGCTGATACACCAGAGGGTCGTGCTGCCATCCAGATGGACCTTGACAGGCAGGAAAAATGGGCTGACAGGAATCTCATGAAGTTCAACAAAGGGAAGTGCAAAGTCCTGCACCTGGGGATGAACAACCCCAGGCACCAGTACACAAGCTGGAAAGCAGCTTGGCAGGAAAGCTGGGGGTCCTGGTGGATGCCACGCTGATGTGCCACCAATGTGCCCTTGCTGAAAAGAAGGCTAATGGTGTCCTGGGTTGCATTAAGAAAAGTATTGCCAGCTGGTTGAGGGAGATGATCCTTCCCCTCTACTCAGCACTGGGGAGACGCACCCGGAGGCCTGGGCCCAGTTCTGGGTTCCCCAGTACAAGAGAGACATGGACGTACTGGAGAGTCCAATGAAGGGCCATGAAGATGACTGAGTGACTGGAGCATCTGTCATGTGAGGAAAGGCTGAGAGAGCTGGGAGTGTTCATCCTGGAGAAGGCTCGGGGGAGATCTTATAAATGTCTATAAATACCTGAAGGGAGGGTGGCAAAGAGGATGGAGCCAGGCCCTTTTCAGGGGTGCCCAGTGGCATGACAAGAGGCAACAGGCACAAACTGAAACACAGGAGGCTCCCTCTGAACATCAGGAAACACTTTTTTTCACTGTGAGGGTGACCAAGCACTGGAACAGGTTGCCCCAGGGAGGATATGGAGTCTCCTTCCTTGGAGATATTCAAAAGCCATCTAGACACGGTCCTGGCTGACTGGCTCTAGGCGGACCTGCTTGAGAAGGGGAGGTTGGAGGTTGGACAAGCTTCAACTATTCTGATTCTAAGCATTCTCACTATTTTACAGAGAAGGAATGGAGGTGCAAAGATCAATTGAAAACTCTGATTATTTTGGATGCCCAAACTGTGACCTAAATTTTCAAGATAGAAAGTATTACATGTTCAAAATAACAACCATGGATTGCTGCACAGCTGAGAGTGCTCAACATTTCTGAAAATTAATAACCAAAGTCTCAAATCAGGCACTCTGAAAATAGGTCATATGTATAGTTAGTGAGGAATTCTGAAAAGTTTGGTTATGCATCACCCCAAAATTCTAATGTACAGACAGCAATAGTGTAAAATACTGCATAACAATATTTAACAGTTTAAATAGCGTGTGCTTTCTCTTTCTGCAATTACTGGCTTTATTCACTGTATTTTCGGCTAAGGAGAAGATCTGACAGACAAGCTTGCTTCACTAGACAACACTGATTTACTCCCTACAAAACTCTGCAAAAGTTGCAGCAAGGCTCCTATAGAAAAACACCACATGATAGTGTAATTAAAAACAATACCGTAAGTTAAAAAAAAAACACCAGGGTTTATTAAGTAGTACAGATAACCTTAAGACTGGCATTCCCAACCTCTTAGTGTTTGTCTCTGAAATAAGTTACTTAACTTGTGTGAAAAACAAAAAGCATAATTTGGATTCCCATCATGTGTCACATGACGTAGAAGACGAACCACTGGGGGACTATACTGCTGTTCTCTCCGCAGACAAGCACTGGAAAGAGACACTTTGCCAAGTGTACATTATTTTGCTGACAAGAGAAGGTAACGCAAGACTTGGAAATCCCTAGTTCCATTCCAGACTCCAAAAAGGGAAAAGGTTTTCTAGTGGGCACACACACTTTCTTTCCATCTTTTCCAATTCTACCTCTCCAAGAAGATGCCATTAGCTGCTCATCCTTTCTCTTCACTTTGGTCAGCCCCAAGTCTTAAGGTTTCTTATCCTGGACTCCTTCCCTACTAATACTAAACTCCTAAATCCACATTTTCCAACTCAATCTCCTTTTACTTCCGATCTCTCTCCTGCTTTCAGCATTGTTGTCCAAGTCCTAAATATTCTATGTGTATAGCTGCTCACAGGTTCTAGCCACAGTGTGTTTCCAATAGCTCCAAGTTCTACCCACAATCTCTGAAATAGTCATCCAATTTTAAAGATCTTTCCAGTCTCTTTAACCACCTCATACTAGCTCTCCTCACTGGATGTCTCTGATCCTTCTTCACTCCCTCCCCTCACATTATTAATTCTCAGTCTCTGATTTCTTGCATTGCCCTAGATTTCCCTGGTGCCACATCTACACTCTGTTTCTCCATTCATTGACTCCCAATCTTGCCATTTCATACTTACAGTCTCCTCTGACAACCAATCCTCCTCGTTGCAAACTCCCGTCCAGCCAATATCCCTATTCTTCACTTGTCTCCGGGCTCTTTATTAACTTTACTTCTCCTACCTATTTCACTAGGATTATGCTGCCTCATCCAAATTGTAATCTCAGTATCGTCTCCTTACTGATCCTGCAGTTAAAACCTCTCAACTTTCTTCTCTTAGTACATTCTCTCCCCACACTTACACTCCTCTCCTTCAGAATCTTCCACTGTTATCCCTGTGGTCACAGGATAACAGCACAATACAGTCTCCATTAATTTCAAGATTCTTTGCCTGGACTTGCCTCACAGTAATGAAAAATGCTAATGAATCTAGATTGGAACATGCTTCAGTCAGATTATAAGAGACCTCAGATGCCAAATTCTGAAAAGTTTCTATGCAGCTTTAATGAACTGATTTTTAATTTTTTTTTTTTTTTGAGGCTTAAAAGACACTTAATTTGGACACATTTCCTGGGAACAATCAAAAGCATGCAACAACACATAGACTGACATGCCTATCAAACATTAAGTCCCTACTTTACTGTACAAGGAGTATAGGACTGTTAAAACAAAATATGTGGATTTTAATGTGGCCAAAACATCTTTTTCTCTAGCCTTCTCAGGAGTGGCTTAAACACCTTAGCCAAAACATTTTAAAAAATTAAGTTCACTTTGAATGAAATGCTTATTCATTTGAATGAAATGCTCATCTCAAATGAAATATTTAAATCCAAATAACCAGAGTTTGAAATTTGTAATTAACAGAAAACAAGATATTTTAATAGCATTAGTCAGCTCTAACATTAGATGTAATTAGCTGTCGGTTAGCTTTTTTCTCCTGTCACAAATTCAGCACTGCATTTGAGAACAGATTATGTCAACTGCATCTATAGAAAATAATAAAAGACTTCTAACACAATACAGTTGTAATTTTGGAAGTGAGAACATATTCCTCGGCACTACAGGAATCTACCTGTATCCAGCTCCTTTACTCCCATAATATAAAAAAGGTGCAACATACAATATAGGATATATACTATAAAGGATGTTTTCCTGATTCCATCATCATCATCTTATGGTGCTACCACCGTCTTAGTGGATCATAAATATAACTGATGTGCTCAGACACTGCACTTTGGTACCAACACACATTGTTCAGCTGACAGTATGTACTGTCACTGAAACTTACTTGCAAGAGCTTTATTACATAATTTTAAAATGTAAAAACCTTCCAATAATGAAAAAAACCAAATGTTTTGCACTTGAAATGTTAAAACAGTCAGAAGTATATTTATTTGCATTCAACACTTTTTCTTTCAATCCATAAGAAAAAAGAAAGACAAAAAGTGGTCATGTAACAATTAGCCTATTGAATTTTATTACAAAAATTGTATCTGTCACTCACCAATTTTTTCATCCAAAAGCATAATTTTCTCCTGGGTAAGTTGCATTTCATATTTTTTCCTAACAAGGCTTTGCTGAGTCTCTGAAAGACTCTGTTCTGTCTTTTCATTCAATAAACTGCAAAAGCAGAAGCATTAAACAGGACAATTCAGACATTTATATATTAATTTTCTCCTTTTTGAAATGTCACTAAAATTGCAAAAGTTAGGAAAAAGCAAGATTCTTCTCTATATATTACACCATTTGGGAAATTTTATTAATGTTAACCTTAATCTCTGGATATTAAAGTCTGAATACTCCTGTAAAGAATCATAGAAAAGTAAGAAGAATTCTTTACAACAGGTGGACGTAAAAACTTCTAAAAAATTATTAAAATAAAAATCATCATTTGGGACATGCATTGGAATGCCTGACCTATTTCAAGTTATAACGAAGTCATATGTTCAAATCATGTAGTAATATTAATGATTCTCAAACTGTTGAAACTGAAGAGAACTATCAGCCTGGTTTGGCAGGGGAAAGAAAAAGATATTTTAGTAGCAGCAACTAATCTTCAACAACTCAATTTTTACAGTATTCATTAATCTGACAACTTATTATAAAGCAGCAATAACTCAGGACTGGATTTGCAAAGGAGTTCATGTTATTTTAGAAATCACAGTACCCTTAGAAAGGTATTGTGGGCCAGCACAATATTGCACGCTAGCACCCAGCATTCCCACCGATCAAAATCCAACAAAAAAACTACAGCACCCATGTGTCAACTACACCAGTCGTTTGTAACGACACATAGGTTTAGGGGAGCGTTTGCCTAGCTGAATTATATTTAAGGAAATAAAAGAGGAAAAAGTCACAGTATCTTCTCTTGCAGTCTGCTCACTCTGTAGCCTAGTTCAGTCTGTGATCTAGTCCTTCGTATCTCTCCGCACAAACTTCACACGTGATTGATCTTTCCCTCCAGTCAGTAAATTATCCTTTTTAATCTTTCAGTCACTGACCTATGCTTTCTCCCCTAAAGGCTTTGATTGAGTCTAGTCCCACTACATGCTTCTGAACATGGTTAGGAACTCCAGTTGAGCAGCAGGTTATAAACCCTATGCAAGGCTTCAGTTTTATTTCCTCTCTTGAAAAAGCTCTAATACTAAGAAAAGGATGTTTGAAACTAACTACACGTGACACTCACTAGTTTATGTGTGAAAATGAAAAAAATTTTTTTTTAATTCATATGCAATTTACCAAAAACCATCAATCCCTGCAGCTTCTAATAGAAAGCTCCTAACTCTAAGTCAGAGTGAATTTCACTTTTTCACTGAAGATGGTTTTCAGCATATGAAAATATCAAGAAGCCAAGAACATTTACATATAAATAAGCAATGAGGAAAACAATTTCATTCCAAAAAGAAGGATGGCTCGTAAGAACAACTACCGTAAATTCCTTTCCCTTTGAGCTATATAACAGTTATGAAAACCAACGAACATAGGCTGACACTACTCGTCCAACTAATGCAATTATATGCTTTTACTTACCTGAGTGAAACATATTCAGCTTCCTGTCGTCTCAGCTCAGTTTCAGAGTCCAGTGCTCTTCTTGCCAATCTTTTCATCTCAGTTTCCAGAGAATCAATGGTGTCTTTCATTAGCGCCACTTTGGACATCTGTTCTAACCGTTCACTATCTAACTATAAATATAATTAAACATTAAAAGCTGGAAAAAGCTGATTTATACATAGAATTTCTCCTATTAATTCAAATTCTACTCTGTTTTTAGCACAAATCTTTTACTGAAGGAGAAATGTCCAAGTATCTCATTTACTCAGGGCCTGACTCCAAGTCTACTGAAGGTAGTTGGCAAAGAGCTGAAATGTGATTTTCACTTCCTTTGAAGGACAATCAGTTTCCTGTCTTTCAGATCTCTGAGAATATTCTCATTTATTAAAGTAAATTTTAGGTTGGTGATTATGCCCCAGGGCAAAAATGTTTGGCATTGATCAACACGAGAAGTTTTCAGTGCAAAATAACGTAACAGAAAACATTACTATTAGTGTACGAAGGGAGAAATCGCAGTTTGGGATACAGCACTACCAATGATGGATTTAGGCCTCTACTAAGTCATATAGCTATGCCGGTAACTGGATAGAGAAATCACTGTAAAACATTTGCATAAAGCACTATATGACCAAGTTACCACCATGAGATCTTTAAATCTGGACCTGGAACAAAGAATGGGTCCAGAAACTCTTGCACAGACTCCAGCAAAGCTAGTTTGAAATCTCCATATTTAAAAAAAGCTGTGTTTCATTCTTACAATGCTTACACTTAACATTTAAAGAACTGTCCTTTCTAAATTATTTGAAACAGCTCTTTTAAAGTAAAAAAATTCTCACCTCATCCCTCTCCTCATTTACTGATTCTTTCAGTACTAATTTCTGTGTTACTATAATCAAAGGTCAGACCACTGAAAAGCAAGTCAGTAAGCCTCTGGTATGCAGTAACTTTTTCAATACTAGTGCCATAAATTTCATATTGATGTATCGCCCTCAAAGGGTACTAAATGAACTGAAGAAGTAAGATGATGTACCTAAAACAGGACTATTCCCAATACTCACTACACATCATTTGTCAAGCGTGTGATTAAAGCTAATTTACTACTCTGAGTACTCTGAGCTATTTAAGCCTACAGTGTATTCTTCATCACAGATGCACTCAGTTTAATATTATAATCCTTGGAACTATATTTATAAGCTTGGTAGGATTTAAAAGGCTGAAGGGGAAAAAGAAAATGATCCAGAATTTATAACCACAAGATCTAGAAGAAAGATACACTACAGAAATCAATGTTAATCTATTTAAAAATCAAGTTCTACTAAGACTGTAAATATATTTAAGATTTATATTCATTTTATTAATGTTTTAATTTTCTATTTTAGTGCCATATGTTAGCAAACAAGTGCACACACAAGTAACTTAAACCATATTAAATAGGACTTGCCAGAACAGTATAATTACATTTTGTTTTGGAGCATCAGGTCTTGACGGTATACAATCACAAGATAATTCACATTGGAATGGACTCCTGGAGGTCTCTAGTCTAAACTCCTGCTCAAAGCAGGGCCAGCTCTGCGGTCGGGTTGCTCAGGGCTTTGTCCAGTCCCATCTTGAAAATCTCCAAGACTGGGGACTGCTCGACTGTCCTCATGGGAAAGAAGTATTTCCTTGTATTCGGCCTGAACCCTTCTTGTTTCAACTGATGCCCATTGTTGCTCATCCTTCCACCATGCACTGCTGTGAAAAGCCTGTTTCTGAGTTCTTGAGGAGTACTGGCAGGTAGGACTTAGGTCCCCCTTAAGCCACCTCTACTCCAGGTGGAACATGCCCAGTTCCACCAGCCTCCTCTCACAGGAAAAGTGCTCTGGCCCCAGGTATCATGGGAGTCCTCCATTAAACTCACTCCAGTTTGGCAATGTGTTTCTTGTACTGTGGTGGGGCAAAACTGGATGCGGTGTATTCCAGATGTGGTCTAATGAGTGCTCACTTCCCTTGAGCTACTGGCTGTGTCCTGTTCACACAGCCTCGTACACCCGTGGCCTTCTTTGCCACCATGGCATACTGCTGGGTCATCTACAGCTTGCTGTACACCAGGGCCTCCAGGGCCTGAATTTTCAGCACAGCTGCTCCCAAACCGATTGGTCCCCAATCTGTATTGGTGCCTGTAGCTCTTCTTTCCAAATTCAGAACTTGGCATTCATCCTTGTTGGACTTCAAAAGGTTCCTGTTGTCCATTCTTCCTACCTGTCTTGGTCGCTGTGGATGACAGCCCTGCTTCTTGAGTATTTCAATGGTTTTCCCTAATTTGGTATCATCTGCAAACTTTATGAGCATGCATTCTGTTGCCTCCTTCAGGTCACTGATAAATATGTTAAACAGGACAGGCCTCAGTACAAACCCCTGTGGTGCTCCATGTCTCCAGGCCAAATTAACTGCTACCAGATAAGACCTCAGCTAGCTGCCCACCCATCCATACCATAACATCCTAACCTGGATACAAGAACACTGTGGGTAACAGCGTCAAAAGCCTTGCTACGGTCACAGCAAATGACATCCACTGCTCTCAGCCTGTTGTTTCCTGATAGAAAGCAGTCAGGTTTGTCCTGCAGAAATAACCATGAACATCACCTGTATTACATTTACAATTCCATAAAGAATTATTTTCCCTTACATTTTGAATACCAGTTTCTAGCTCTTCAATTCTCTGTTCCAAATGAGCCTTTTCATTAAAGGCAGTCTCTTGGGAAATCTGTATGAAATAACAACAACAGTAACAAAATCACACATAGAACAATCTGAACTCACCACAGACATGTAATGCAATTAACTCTCAGGATTCGAATGAAAATCTTTAGCAACTTTAATTACAATACTAAGTAGTTTTCACGTTAAAATAACCTTGGCAGGGGTGGGGAATCAAACCTTTAACTGCTCCCTGAGGCTATCACGTTCTGTAGTCATCCTTCGGAAATCTGACACTGCTGTATCCCTTTCTATCTCCACATGTCTTAACATAGCTTGAGCTGCCACAGTACTTTTAGGAGTCCGGGGGCATTTGATAACTTCATGACGAAGTCGGGAAATCTCTTCCTGTGCCTGTTTTTAAAAACAGCAGCATAACAAAAAGATAGAATAGATAATATAATATATTACTGTGGCATATGGCTGTTAATGCAGAGCATCCCAGAAACTGTGCAATATCAAAGATGAAGTAATGATTTGTGCATATATTCTTTGATTCAGGAAAACATTAATAACTCAGGACAGCACTTACAAACTTGTGTTTAACTGACAGATTCAAATCACAGAATTTCCATGACTTTTTTTTCTATTTTTTAAACAAATGTTTCGCATTTTTTTCTTTTTTTACACAAAAGTAAAAATAGGATTTTTTTCCTTGTACATCACCTTAAGTTATTTTAATTAGTCATACAAATATAAATAAAATTACCCGTTCATAAAGATTGACAATTTTGTCTCTCTCAGCTCTTAAAACTTTGAAGTTACCCTGAATTTCTGCCACACGGCGCTCATATTTTTTCAGCGTTGACTTAAGTTCTTCACATTCTCTCAATATTTTCAAAACTTCTGGATCAGAACTCACTCCCTTAAAGAACAAGGTGATATAAGGTTAAAGTAGAGAAACAAAACTTGATATGCTTTCTTACTATATCTGGTTTGGAAATTTCTATAAAAGATTTAATAAGCCTTCAACCTAGTAACCTCTAGACAGTCAAGACTGTACATACATATTTCTTAGTATTAGAGCCCAGATATACATACCATTTTCTAAAATACACTAAATACACTAAAATACATTACTTTGAGCAGCAAATGTCTATCACAAATGATACTGACAATCATGTTAATAATTACTTAAAATGTAAGCAGTTGTCAGTAACCGTTTAAAGTGATATACACTCATGAAGTGTAAAGTGGCAGTTAAGTTCACATTATTGGCCCATTCCTATCTTATGCATCCTTCTGTTTACAATCAATTAATTTTTCTTCCTGGTAATTATGGCTTTGGTAGTTTAGCATAAGATAAACCAACATTTTAAAAAATGTGTTCCCCCTCTTCCAAAGTGTTTTTCCAAGCTCACCTGGCTGGATGAAAATTTTTTTGACATGCTGCCACAAGTAGAGGTTCGCTTAGGACTTGAAAATGCGTTTCTAAATACCTTCAGCAAATTCTCAGTCTCACGTTTATAGTAGTCTCTGTCCTCTTCCAATGTCTTAATAAAGGCACCAAGCCTTGAAGGTGACTTCCCTTGCTTTATTTCAGCTTCTGTTTGTAAAATAACCTGCATGTGCAAAAATGAGAGAATTCATTCACTGAAATAGAACTTCTGTAATGAATGATACTTCAATGTAAAATGGATAAACAAACTCTTCAAAATGAAGATGAAGCAGATATCTAATTAAAATAAATATCCATTTAATACTTTAAAGTAACTTCTCAATGTTTGTATTTTCTCTTTTTTGTTATATTGCAGAATATGTCTGAATGTCCTTCTAAAATGGATCTAACAGGACAGAAAAGGACATAAAAGCTGAATGTTAATTAACTTGGAATATATCTGTTCAAAACTAAGGAGGACAATTAAGTAGTTTTGTATTGGAATATCTAATGAATTTTTAAATATGAAAGAAATTAGGCCACTATGTTTGCTTAAGATCATGAAAGATGCATTTCTGAAATGGAAATAAAGTAATGTGCAAATAAGTATAGTTGAAATCCAGGAAGTCATGTAGGGGCCTAAAACAGATTTTGAAGATGAATTGCAATTCCAAAGTTCAAAATTGCACACCAAATCCCTCTCCGATACAATCTATCTGTTGGAAGTGCCTGGACTCATGAAAATTTAAGCACCTAGGGAATAACAAACTCTGCAAATTTATTATCTTTTAAAGACACATGCAGAAATAGCTCTTTAAATCCCTGAAAAGTTATAAATTAATCACCTAAATCTCTCAGTGAATCTAGCTCTCAAATCCCAAACGTTCTGGCTAAAGGATCGAAATCTTTCCAGGGTAATCGAGCAGTAAGCTCTACATGGTCAAAGTGTGGTTTTTTTCCAGAGGGGGTTCTTTGCAGGACTGTGGCATAAGCTCAAATATTTTATACAGGAAAGAAAAAAACCAACCCCTCCCACCCCCCTGAAATTCGAGACAAATCTTTAAATTACAGTAAGAAATTATTATCTTGAACACATTAAAAAATTCCCTATCAATTTATACTGGAAGCAAGTGAATGAGTCCACTTAATAAATTCAAATGTTAATTTAAGTTAGATTTACCACTGGCAAATATTTCTACAATTACAACATTGTATACATTTCAAAATATTCCAGCAGTATCGCTACACCTTAATATTAAGATAAAAATTTTAAAGAAAAAATGTTACTTCTTTCTGTTTTGCAAGTGATTTACAAGGTATTCAAAACAGTTATATGCAATTTTGTAAAAAAAATTAAGATTTCAAAAGCAAAATAATTACAGGCTAGTTGCAAAACAGAAACAGATTCCCATCCATCTAGAGACAGAGAACTACAAATGAAAACAGATATGTTTACCCATTCTATAACTTGTCTGTTATCAGTGAAAACAAAGCAAGTGAAATTCACTTGTACGAGTATTAACTTCACGTGGAAATGACCTGATTTCATAGCTACATATATATTAAGGATACATGTTTAACTCACAGATTTTAGTGTTTTCACTGTGTGTTCCAGCTTCTTTATCTTGTTCTGCTGGTGTCGAATTTGAATCTACCATAAAAAAATTGAGAGCAAGAGATGCATTTATTTATTATTTATAGTGTAAATCCAGCATTTTAGCTCAACTGTTCCAGTCCAAAGCAGCATTTCGTATGTGTTTTCTAGTTTGACTAGGCTGAAAACATACTATTAGTAGCAATAAACTTAATCTAGAAGGGAATCAGTTAAAAGTTTTATCTTCAGATGCAGTCCAGGATTAGGAAAAACAGTAACAGTTGAGTTACTCTCAGCTGAGTGAATGAAAAAGGAAGCATGGGATACCTTTTCCCAGAATTGTCTTACCGAGAAACTTTTGAAAACAGGGACAGTTTGACTATACCCGTGGGCTAAAGAAATAAGTATGTAGTTACACTAATTGCAGACAAAGAATATGCTTTCTCCCATCTGACCAGTACTACTAAATCACATAATTGCATGTGCATAGAATGCAATTTTCCATTATCCTGTGAAATCAAAAGCAGTTTTCACTGAAATTACATTCATTCCAACTGCAAGCGTGATTTTAATCCTTGAACCATTCTACACTTGAAAAATACCACACTGGCCAGAACCTACTCCTCCTTCATCCCAGCAAATATACTTCAAAGCAGAGATGAAAGCTAGAAATTCAGCCGAAAAGGTAAAAAAAAAAAAAACAAAACCCAGTCAGTTCCCCATAATATTAGCAAACATTAAAATATCACTGCACAATATTAATTCTAATGGGGAGATACCTTTGCTTCCTCAAGCTCCTTATCAGCAGTATTCAATAGCAATTCTTTTTCCAGCTGCTCAGATAGTTTGCCAATTACAGTCAGTTCTTTACACAGATGATCATTTTTACAGGTGAACCTATCCACTTGACTTCCCACCACTTGCTTCTTATCAAGCAGTTGTATGACATGTTGCCTTAGCTCATGGTTTATCTTCTTCAGATTTTCAATCTATGAGGACGAGGAGGAAGAAAGTATTTTACTTCATCTTCAAGGATTCGCAGGAAATATTTCATAATAAGAAACTCCATTGTTTGCACAGGCTGATCCTGTAATGCATGAGAAATCAGTATTGCTGAATACTGAATTCTGCAAGGTTCGCTTTATTCTAATAGTCAGAAAGTTTTCTTCAGATACTACTAGCAGTGCACAAAAACACATTTTAAATTATTTAAGAAGACCTGAAAGATGCTTTGTGACTAAAAGCTTTTTGAGTGGGCTCTGTCCTGTGACATTCTGTGGCAGTTAATTTTGCCACTTCTTCTGTTCAACTGGTATGCAAATATATTAGGGGAGTCAGTGAAAAAATTATTAATTTCTTTACATCGTCATTTTATTTTTATGTTTTCATCAAGCCTGATCCAGCTAACGCTACTGAATTAATAACAAAGCACAGTTATAAACCTGAAAATGGCGTAATTATGGAATGGTTGAGTGGAAAAGTAGTTTTTTAAAAAAAAAACAAACCCACACCACAGAAAGCATCCACAAAAGGCCATAGAGACAGCATCTGTACATCCGTGTTTTGGGATTCCCGCACTTTTATTAAGTTATAAAATTTTGGTAGAAAACAGCTCTGCTATTACTGGAGGAAGTTCACAACGATGCCTGCTTGACATGGTGGGAAGAGGAGTGCTAATGAAGGGTCGGGAGGTTAAATCCTACTCTGCATCTGAATGTACAAACATCACTTAAAATGACAAAATTGAAGTCCGACTCGGGTCTACACCCTCAAGCCTCAAGTAACTGACTTACACCAAAAGTGGGTTTGTTGCTCCATACAGCCAACCTGTATCATATCTCAAGGGTCTTTTCCAACCTAAATGATTCTATAAGTCTATGATTTTCCCCCCTCATCTTCTCTTGGATAACCAAGAAAGTTCTAGCAAGCACTCAGAGATACCGTATTTAGACTACAAAATTAAGGGTTCTTCATGGAAAATACCATTTTAGCAATTTACTCTGCTTTATACAGACAGGAATTATAATTTGAGCACCTTAACTAATTACAGTTGTGCTCACAATGCTATACGATGAAAGTGGTCTGTAAGCAGACTAAATTACCGATCATTTAAGGCTTTATAGACTAAAAAAACAATACCACACTACCAAAAAACACTTATAGCCATAAAAAATCATAAAGTGCAAACAGCCTTCACTCCTGTCATGTCCCTGCATTCTGCTCTAGCTCATGACAGCTTGTTCCAGCAATATAAACTGGGGAGGGAAATGCTACCATTTAACTTCCTAGGCACAAAAGGATGCAGAAAAGCATCTTTTTGTATTTCAGCTGTATCAAAATAGAGGAAATACATGATAATAAGAAACACGGACATAACTTATGAATTACCTCTCTCTGTCAGCATCCTCTCAAATATAAAGCAAGGCCAGAAACATTTTTAAGTGTTCAAATTCTGTTCAATTCAGCTAAACATAGGGATATGGAGCTAGTTATCATCAACTCACAGTACTGCCGCTTATGTTTCCTTACAAATCCACAAACGCTCTGAAATATGGGAAGGAAGAAAAAGATGGAGTGCTCTCTGGCAGCTTTCTCAGAATAACTATGATAAGGCAGGGTCACTGGAACAAGTCTCTCAGTGAAAGATGAATGAGCCACAGTGAGACAGGGCAAGTGGCAAGCACACCAGTGCCTCACAGTGCTATTCAACGCCTGAAGTCTGCTCCTCTTAAAATATGGGAAGTAGCCCACAGGTCTAACAACAGAATATGAACATTCAGTTGCCCGCCAGCAGAAGTTATCACCACCGGCATGACCACAACAGTTTCTCTCCGTGCTCAGATTCAAGAGTTTCAAGGAAATTTAGGGCAGCTGGTTCACTGAGTTTTTTCCCTACCACATTCAACTTCATCTGAAAGGAATCTCTGCCACCAAGTATCAGTATGACCATCAGGCTCAGGGTGTTTTTAAGCACCAACGTAAGTGTCAGTTTTGTTTAGGAGTAAGATGACTTAATTTTGGGTATCTACAACGAAGTATTTCTAGAAAGTGATTCCCATGATCGATTTAAGGCATTCATCCTAAAATTAATCATGCCTCAGGAGTACCTCTAACAATAAAGACAGCCTAGACATCTCTATTACAGTCATCGTCACCGTTGACACATCAAAATAGATGAGGTGAATCCCATCTTAATATTCTGTTCTCTCTGAAAGAGGCACTCACAACTTTCTCCAGTTATATGCATTGCCCTAGTCTTTCCAGAAAGGAAAGAGAACAGATCAGAGGAATTTGCAAGCTATTGGTACCTTCAGTACCTCACTGAGCATTGGGGATTCAAATTTACAGACAGAATACATAGTACTTACTCACTCACAATACTACTTTTACTCAACTTGTGAAAGAGAACTTTTTGAAAGACATGATAATATTTACATTCCCTAAGGTAACTATTATTTATGCTTGCCTTAAAGCGGTAATTTAATTATCGCTGTTGACACATTTCACCACCATCCTCTGAACTGCGAAAACACAACCCCCTTCCAATTGAGATGAAACATCGCACCAAGACCGCTCTAAGCTTCATGCAGCGCTGAAGACCCTTGCAACAGGCCTTGCAACACGACCAAAAGAATTCAGACTTGGTGAACTTTCTGGGCTGATTGAGTCCCCCAAACTGTTTTTGAGTTCCAAGTGTTTCAGCGATTAATTTAAGATGCTCCTTTCCTCCTTGTTCCAGACAGTGCACACA